TTACCAACAGGGCCTGGTGGCTGAATTGGATTAACACTGCCCTGGCTTATGACTTAGAATCATAGAATCATAGAGTTGGAAAAGACCACAAGGGCCATCGAGTCCAACCCCCTGCCAAGCAGGAAACACCATCAGAGCACTCCTGACATATGGTTGTCAAGCCTCTGCTTAAAGACCTCCAAAGAAGGAGACTCCACCACACTCCTTGGCAGCAAATTCCACTGTCGAACAGCTCTTACTGTCAGGAAGTTCTTCCTAATGTTTAGGTGGAATCTTCTTTCTTGTAGTTTGGATCCATTGCTCCGTGTCCGCTTCTCTGGAGCAGCAGAAAACAACCTTTCTCCCTCCTCTATGTGACATCCTTTTATATATTTGAACATGGCTATCATATCACCCCTTAACCTCCTCTTCTCCAGGCTAAACATGCCCAGCTCCCTTAGCCGTTCCTCATAAGGCATCGTCTCCAGGCCTTTGACCATTTTGGTTGCCCTCCTCTGGACACGTTCCAGTTTGTCAGTGTCCTTCTTGAACTGTGGTGCCCAGAACTGGACACAGTACTCCAGGTGACCAGAGCAGAATACAGTGGCACTATTACTTCCCTTGATGTAGATGCTATACTCCTATTGATGCAGCCCAGAATTGCATTGGCTTTTTTAGCTGCCGCGTCACACTGTTGGCTCATGTCAAGTTTGTGGTCAACCAAGACTCCTAGATCCTTTTCACATGTACTGCTCTCAAGCCAGGTGTCACCCATCTTGTATTTGTGCCTCTCATTTTTTTTGCCCAAGTGCAATACTTTACATTTCTCCCTGTTAAAATTCATCTTGTTTGTTTTGGCCCAGTTCTCTAATCTGTCAAGGTCGTTTTGAAGTGTGATCCTGTCCTCTGGGGTGTTAGCCACCCCTCCCAGTTTGGTGTCATCTGCAAATTTGATCAGGATGCCCTTGAGTCCATCATCCAAGTCGTTGATAAAGATGTTGAATAAGACCGGGCCCAAGACAGAACCCTGTGGCACCCCACTAGAGGGCTTGAAATGGCACGTAGGGTAGTGGAGACTAAGACCCCCAGGCCCCCTTTCGCTCTTCCACGCTTTACCCCTAGATCTGCCCCAGTTGAGAATGAATGAAATCCATTGAGTAACCGCTCATTCGCTGTCCATGTTTTCAGGATCATTATGATGCAATGGTGGGAATGAAAGTCTTTAAAACAAGGATTTCTGCTGGATGCAGACCACCCGGCCGCATTCCAGGATAAAAGCTAGGTCACTTGATTGTCATGCAGTTGCATTATGGGTAATTTTTGCAGGAGCAAGGGCTTCACATTGGTTTGAGATGGTTGTAACTGCGTCTCCTTCTGTGACGAGGGAGAAGGTGCTGTGCCATCATGTTCCTGCTCTTCTGTTCTAGCGAGGAGACTGGGAGAATCAGTGCAGCGTGGTCAGCAATATGTGAATTCCAGGCAAGCAGGGCTGTCATCTCTTCAGCAGGGGAGACTTCCTATCACTTGTCCAAGGAGAGGAGAGGGGAACTGTTTCTCCTGCGAATCCGGTTCCCTCAGGGCCAGGTGGGACTTCTGAGATGGGGAAGCACATGGGGCTGTATTTCTAGGTTGGGGTTGTTCAAGTGCTTATCAGAGGTTTCTTTTGCTTGCAGAGCAGATGCTTTGGGGAATCAGCTACTTGGGGTTGTGAAGATTCCTTGTATACTACTGGGAGTACAAGATTCCCGATGGCTTCGCTCACAAGGGTCATAGGAACGTGCAAGCCCACTCACCACAACAAGGTTTTGATCCAGCGAGTGAGAAGTACATTTTTGCTAATTTAACCGGGGATAATAATAATAATAATAATTTATTATTTATACCCTGCCCATCTGGCTGGGTTTCCCTATCCACTCTGGGCGGCTTCCAACAGAACATCAAAAGCTTCCCTAAACAGGGCTGCCTTCAGATGTCTTCTAAGAGTCTGGTAGTTGTTTCTCTCTTTGACACCTGGTGGGAGAGCATTCCACAGGGCAGGAGCCACTACCGAGAAGGCCCTATGCCTGGTTCCCTGTAACTTGGCTTCTCACAGGGAGGGAACTGCCAGAAGGACACTGGACCTCAGTGTCTGGGCAGAACGATGGGGGTGGAGACGCTCCTTCAGGTATACTGGGCCGAGGCCGTTTAGGGCTTTAAAAGTCAGCATCGACACTTTGAATTGTGCTTGGAAACGTACTGCGAGCCAGTGTAGGTCTTTCAAGACCGGTGTTATGTAGTCTCGGTGGCCTAACTTCCAAATCTAACTTCCAAAGCCAGTCCGTCATTAATTTATTATGTCCCACATCCTTCGCCCATTTTATCATAACGCATTTGACCTGGTCCTCTTTGGTGTCCCATTCCAAAAGCAGATCATTCATTTTTGACAGCTGTTTTATACTACCTTCTACTATTTCTCTCTGAAATCTTGACATTTGATAACTAAATGCTTTCTTTTCATGATTTTTAAAAGTTTCATTTAGTTGTAAATAGTGTAACCGGTCTATTACATTTTCTCTTACTTCTTCAAAGTCCTTTAATTTTAATTGGTTGTCAGTTTCACTTAACAGCTCTTTATGACTAAGAAAGCTTTTATGAACTTTTGCCTTATGATACCAAAGATAAGCATGCCTGGTGTTGCAGTCTTCAGGTTTGCGGACAAGATGGTGACTGGTTTTTGCCCCAAGTTCTTTCCATAAGCCCCACTGAGTTCAATGGGATCTATTCGCAGGTCTCTACTGTGCAGACCATGCCGGTCTTACGAAGAGGGGAGAGGAGTAAACAGAGGAAATTGGAACCACTGGAAATGTTTATAAATGGGGTTTCTGTTGGGAAGGGGCTGCCCCATTTGTGCTTTTCCAGGGGCAGGAGAATCCAGTGAGAGCCAGTGTGGCGCAGTGGTTAAAAGCGGTAGACTCGTAATCTGGTGAACCGGGTTCGCATCTCCGCTCCTCCACATGCAGCTGCTAGGTGACCTTGGGCTAGTCACACATCTCTGAGTATCTCAGCCCCACTCACCTCACAGAGTGTTTGTTGTGGGGGAGGAAGGGAAAGGAGAATGTTAGCCGCTTTGAGACTCCTTTATGTAGTGATAAATCGGGATATCAAATCCAAACGCTTCATCTTCTTCTCTTCTTCTTCCCTGCAGGGCCTTTGAGGCTCCCTTTGCTTCTTCCTATCTCCCAGGACCCTGCAGCTTGTTTTGGCTCCTTGACTCTTCAGGAAGGATTAAAGAGATGGATCCTGCAAAGCTAGTGGGGATGGAAGGGGAAGATGGACGGTTGACCTGGTCAGGTTGTCTCCTGCGTCCCTCCTCACAACCTCTGAGCGTTCCTCTCTAGGGCTCTCAGAGAGATCTGGTGAGTTCCAGGGGAGGGGAGATGGGGACAAGGAAGGATGGATCTGGTGAGTTCCAGGGGAGGGGAGATGGGGACAAGGAAGGATGGAGCCAGAGAGATATTGGGGCTTGCTCACCCTGGTGGTGGGGGGAGGCAGACAGGCGGGTGGAGATTGAGAAGCACCTTTCTGGGCTCCACCACCTGCCTGCCTGCGCCTTTGTCATCTGCAGGGAATTTGAGCTAGGAATACATCACAGCTCCCTGGCCACCACGATGTATTGGCAGCTCAAAAGGTCTAATACCAGTGCCGTGGCCTGAATGCCCTACCAATGTCAAAAAACTTACTGCTCCATCGCACAGCTGTAGAAGCAACGAACTCTGCATAAGGAAGTCAAGGAGGAGAATCGTGGGATCCTGGACGCTCTTGGTAAAGCTCCCCGTTGGATCATAAGATCAGTTTTGAAATTACATACATACATTCCCCCCCCCTGAGATCCTACAATATAGCTCCCTTTCTGTTCTTCAGACATAGAATATTCTGCCAGCTTTAACTTTTCAATGATAGTTACAATTCTGTCACATGACTCTGGCAATCTATCTTTTCTTCATTTTTTAGACCAAAAAAGTTTCTTATTAAATTGCGATGACATCTTCTAAATTTATAAACTTTCCCTACATTGTGAAGAATTTCTCTGGCAGTAAGACATCTGCCTCAATACATTATATCATTTCAATTCTGTATAACACTGTTCTCATTCTCCTATTCCACTGTGTAAAACTTCCTATGTACATCCTAAAAATTTCTACTTTTCAGTCTGCCTTTAAAAATTGTTTCTGAGAGGATAATTAAGAGTACACTGGCAAAGAGGTCAAAATGTTAATGTCAGTTTCTGAGGTAAAACATGTCACTTTACAACTCTGCACCTGTCTTTCTGGATTATTCATGGTTTTCTGGATTTTGTGGGCCCCAAACCCATTTTCTGTGGTATTTATATGCTGCTACATTAGGTATGAAGAGGGAATTACAAGTGCTTCTATCTATATGAGACTTTACAGACTTTTTCTGAGGCACATAGCAGCATAAAACAGGCAGCAGGTGCTCTCACAGAAAACCTCTCTCTCACTCGACAGTTGAGACCAGACCTAACTGAAAAAACGGCCTTCTGGAGTGACAGTCACCCTTTCCATAGCAACTTGGAGGCAACATTCACACACAGAGTTGTTAGGGAAGTTGAGGTAATTTGTGTCCGGTTTGGGTTTCTGTTTTAGCCTCTGCCCGTTTTTTAAAGAGAAGACCAATGTTAGAATTGGAGTGGATTTCATGATTGTGGCAACAAAAATCCGTCCTAGAAAAGAGGTCGACAAATGCTAGTCGACAAAGGCCACAGCCTCTGTAGAAAGACCTCACATCTTCTGTTCTTCCTCTTTGACAAATTTTCATTAGCATTGTTCAATAATTGGGGGCTCCGTTTCTTCCTGAGGATCTAATTAGTTTCTGTCTTTGTTGTAGGTGGTGATGAATTGGAAATGAAGAATGGGGGAGACCATGACAAAATCCACACAGTGGAGAAGCCAAATCAAAATTGGGAGTATGGAGATAGCTCCAGTCAGAGTTCCCGTTCCCACCAAAGAACTCAAAGCGGGAAGAAAGACTATCAGTGCTCAGAATGTGGGAAGAGCTTCAGTCGGAAGGGCAGTCTTACTTTGCATCAAAGAATTCATTCTGGAGAGAAACCCTATCAGTGCTTGGAATGTGGAAAGAGGTTTCGTCAGAGTGGGGATCTCACTTCCCACAAAAGAATACATACAGGAGAGAAACCTTACCAGTGCTTGGAATGTGGAAAGAGCTTCAGTCACAGCACCCATCTCACTTCCCACCAAAGAATTCATACAGGAGAGAAACCCTATCAGTGCTTTGAATGTGGAAAGAGCTTCAGTCGGAAGGACAGTCTCACTTCCCACCAAAGGATTCATACAGGGGAGAAACCCTATCAGTGCTTTGAATGTGGAGAGAACTTCAGTCACAGTTACAGTCTCACTTCCCATCAAAGAATTCATACAGAGGAGAAACCCTATCAGTGCTTGGAATGTAGGAAGAGCTTCAGTCGGAAGGACAGTCTCACTTCGCATCAAAGAATTCATACAGGGGAGAAACCCTATCAGTGCTTGGAATGTGGGAAGAGCTTCAGTCAGAGCACCCATCTCACTTCCCATCAAAGAATTCATACTGAAGAGAAACCCTATCAGTGCTTTGAATGTGGAAAGAGCTTCAGTCAGAGAACCCATCTCACTTCCCATCAAAGAATTCATACAGAGGAGAAACCCTATCAGTGCTCAGAATGTGGGAAGAGCTTCAGTCGGAAGGACAGTCTCACTTTGCATCAAAGAATTCATACAGGGGAGAAACCCTATCAGTGCTTGGAATGTGGGAAGAGCTTCAGTCAGAGCAGCCATCTCACTTCCCATCAAAGAATTCATACTGAAGAGAAACCCTATCAGTGCTTTGAATGTGGAAAGAGCTTCAGTCAGAGAACCCATCTCACTTCCCATCAAAGAATTCATACAGAGGAGAAACCCTATCAGTGCTCAGAATGTGGGAAGAGCTTCAGTCGGAAGGACAGTCTCACTTCGCATCAAAGAATTCATACAGGGGAGAAACCCTATCAGTGCTTGGAATGTGGGAAGAGCTTCAGTCAGAGCACCCATCTCACTTCCCATCAAAGAATTCATACTGAAGAGAAACCCTATCAGTGCTTTGAATGTGGAAAGAGCTTCAGTAAGAGCGCCCATCTCACTTCCCATCACAGAATTCATACAGGGGAGAAACCCTATCAGTGCTCGGAATGTGAGAAGAACTTCAGTCGGAAGGACAAACTCACTTCTCATCAAAGAATCCATACAAGGGAGAAACCCTATCACTGCTTGGAGTGTGGGAAGAGCTTCAGAAAGAGGGCAGGTCTCATCCGCCATCAAAGAATTCATACAGTGGCACCTCAGGTTAAAAACTTAATTCGTTCTGGAGGTCCATTCTTAACCTGAAACTGTACTTAAGCTGAAGCACCACTTTAGCTAATGGGGCTTCCTGCTGCTGCCTCACAATTTCTGTTCTCACTCTGAAGCAAAGCTCTTAGCCCGAGGTACTATTTCTGGGTTAGTGGAGTCTGTAACCTGAAGTGTGTGTAACTTGAGGTACCACTGTACAGGGCATGAAGTGTATAAGAAATGTGGAAAGAGCTTCTCTTCCAAGAGGCGTCTAGCTTCCCATGCCATGAAGAAATTCATGTGATTGAGCTGGTGGTTGCTGAAGAACTCCAGGCATGCCTGGAGGGTGGGGACCATTTGGATCCATTCCAATTGGGAATCAGGCCTCATATTGCGACTGAAACTGTCTTGGTTGTGCTGGTCCATGATCTCCGGCGCACTAAGCACAAAGGTGAAAGCTGTTTCCTGCTTCTGCCGGAGCTCTCAGTGGCCTTTGATACAATTGACCACGACATCATTCTGGACCGTCTAGAGGAGCTGGGAGCTGAGGGTTATACAGTGGTTCCACACCTTCCTCCTGGGCCGTGTTCAGAAAGTGGTGGTGGGGGATTAGTGTACAGACCCCTGGGCTCTCACTTGTGGGGTGCCTCAGGGTTCCATCCTCTCCCCCATGCTTTTTAACATCTAAATGAAGCTGTTGGGAGAGATCATCAGGGGGTTTGGTCTGGGTGTTCATCAGTATGCGGATGATACCCAGCTCTAACTCTTTTAAATTGGAACCAGTGAAGGCAGTGAAGGTCCTGTGTGAGTGTCTGGAGGCGGTTGGAGGATGGACGGCAGGTGACTGATTGAGGTTGAATCATGACAAGACAGAAGTGCTGTTCTTGGGTGACGGGGCGGGCTGGTGTTGAGGACTCACTTAGACCACTGCAACACATTCTATGTGGGGCTACCTTTGAAGGTGACCTGGAAAGTACAACTAATCCAGAATGTGGTTGCTAGACTGGTGACTGGGAGTAGCTGCTGAGACCACATAACACCGGTCCTGAAAGACCTACATTGGCTCCCAGTACGTTTCTGGCCACAATTCAAAGTGTTGGGGTTCACCTTTAAAGCCCTTAACAGCCTTGGCCCAGTATACCAGAAGGAGTGTCTCCACCCCCATCCTTCTGTCTGCACACTGAGGTCCAACTCCCAGGGTCTTATGCTGTCTCCCTCACTGCAGGAAGTGAAGATACAGGGCCTTCTCGGTAGTGGCATCCGCCCTGTGGAATGCCCTCCTACCAGATGTCAAAGAAATAAACAACTGTCTGACTTTGAGAAGACACCTCAAGGGAGCCCTGTTTAGAGAAGCTTTTAATATCTGATGAATTATTGTATTTTAATATTTTGCTGGAAGTCACCCAGAGTGGTTGGAGAAACCCAGCGAGACGGACGGGGTATAAATAAATTATTCTTATTGTTTTAACAACTTTCCCATGCAATATGGGAATCCACATCCATCTGAAGTTCAGGAGCAGTTGGACAATCCCCAGATTCTGGGCATCTACATTTGGGGCCATCTGGTAGAAAAAGGGGAACTGGGTTTTTTCATGAAGAGTCGGAACAGTGTATCCATAACTTGCCCAGGAAGCAAAGGAAGAGGTGAGTGCTTTGCTGTGGTTCCAGGACAAATCTCAGACAGTTGACCAACTACAGTCCCACACACACGCACACAAAGAACAAGACAAAATGCTGACCGTGTAGAATGGAAGGAGGTCTTCCAGGAATGCCTCCAAACTCTCAATATTTTGTGGGACTGAATCACATCCCAGAATATTAGACTAGGGACTCAGCTACATTACTCAAAAAACTGTGTTTTGAATGCATTGTAAACAAGCAACATTTTTTAAAAGCAGTGGTGGGGTGGCATAGGGCATTTGACACCAATGTTGAGTGCACCTGCTTCCAGGTTCCATCCCACCCTTACCTTTGGGAGAGTCCAAAAAGGAAAGAATGAAAAGCCCATGGCAGAGGCACAACTCTGTCTTAACACCAAAGCAGCCATACCTGTGGGATTTTGTAGATGCTTGACACAGGTGACATATGTCTAGAAATATCAGCTTCAGCATCTTCAAGAACAGCCAACAGGTTATTCTTCTTCCTGGCTCCCGGTGGAGTACAATGTCAGATTTCAGATGCTGGTTTTGACCTTTAAAGACCTTAATGGCCTAGGACCCTCGTACCTATAGGACCGCCTCTCCCGGTATGGCCCATGGAGGACCGTAAAGTCCATAAATAGCAACACCCTAAAGGTCCCGGGCCCAAAGGAAGTTACATTAGCCTCAACCAGAGCCAGGGCTTTTTAAACACTGGCTCTGGCCTGGTGAGACCAGGGCCCTGCAGGATCTGATTTCTTTCCACAGGGCCTGTAAGACAGAGTTGTTCTGCCTGGCCTTTGGCTTGGAGTCAATTTGATTCCCTCCCTCTCTTTCTTTTTTCCTTTCTCCTCCTGTGATGAGGCTGCATTTTAACGTTTTAATGTTGTATTTTATTTATTTATTTATTTTTAATAGCTATTTATTGAAGATTTTCCATTTTAGTAAATTAAAAAGCCAAAAAGAAAAAGAAAAATTAAAAACATATACAGTTTACAATCCTTATTTTTCAGTAACATATTTCCCTGACTTCCCCACACCTCCCCTTCTTATATTCCAATTCAAATTGTTAGTTCAACAAGTTCTTATCCCCAATTTTTTAACCTTTTTATGTTTTAATTCATTATAAAAAACCGATTTTACCTTATAAACATCAAAATTTATACATCAGTACTCATTCTTAAATCTTTTTTCTAAAGTCGACCCAAATTCCCTTGCACGAATTCCCCATTTTTCATACAAATAACAAAACAGAATAAAAATAAAAAGACGAATTATAATTATACACCCTTTGGATCCCCAAACCCCACCCCATCCCCTTTCCCGGTTTCAATCCCCAACAAGTGTCCATCAGTCTTAATCTACTATCAGCCTGGGGATCTCACGTCCGAGGCTCTTAATTGTCTCTCAGTTCCTCTCTGCCGGTTTTTTTTTATAGTCCTTAATGTTAAACACCAGATCTCGGAGATGCTCTAGCCCGATGAGGACAATGTTTCTTCCAGCCAGACCTCCATGTTTAAAAGTGGAGCCCAAATTTTGTTTCTTACTCCTTTCAAATCCAAATGTCCCCAAAGCTCCCACTTTCACCTTAATCAAATTTGTAATCCTTGGGTCTTCAGATCTCCACATAGAGAGATCTCTCCATTCTTCAATCACCAATTCAGACCAGATTTTCATCATCCAGTTCTTATTTTCCTTTATAACCATCATGTCAGGCCTCTGGCTCTCCTTTGCCATCTGCAACATTATATCTCCTCCTTCCTTTTCCTCAAAAACAACATGTGTCTCTTTCTCCACACTCTCAAAGTTCTCAAATTTCTCTTGTCCAGCTGCTTGGGCTTCCTGGATCAAATCCTTATCAAATTCAATGAACTTATTTACTGTTAAGTCCAGAGTTGCAACGTTGGTAGCCAAAACATCAATTTGGCCTTGTAACTTTCCCAAGAGAAAGAAAACTCTGTCCAATTTAGCTTGAGTTTTGCCTCCTTCAGCCATTCTTGTAATGTCCCAAAACCCCCTCTAGAGGGATTTTGGTTACTTAGTATTCATTCCAGTTCAAATCCAACAATCAAGTTAATTTGTGTCAGTTCTTCCTTGTTTTCAACAAAGTATAACCCCAATTGTAACAAATATAACCAGCAGAGACAATAGAAAACAAAGTTCGCTTTTTCCGTCTTGACAGCTAATTTGACAGCTGTCAAACTCTTCAATATCTCTCCAACAGGCTCTCTCACGGATCACTCCCGGGTCACGGGGGGTGGCACCTCAGCTCCGAAAATTAGCTCTTATCCTCCAGTAAAATTGCTTAAACTGCCAAATCGTGCAATTAATACCTTTTAGCCAATAAAAGGGGGAAAATCCTCTCGACTTTAGTTAGCTAGTCCTTGCTTTAGATTATTTACAAGACGGGGAGACGGACTTCCTGTTTGCATCTTCCCCGATCGTGCCTAATTCAAAATTTTTTTTCTTTAGAAATCCAATTTCCGTAGTACTCACAGGTTGCTGCTTTAAAGTCCAATTGTTCACAAGAAGAAGTCAGCGCTCTCCGGCCATGGCATGCAGCTTCACTCCGCAGGAGAAGCAGTAGACTCTCAGCACCGCGCCACTCACCCCGTCCCCCGTTCCGAAGCCTTTAAAAAGGCTCCTTCACGGGTCGGGGGGCGCAAATGGTGCCCGCCGAGTCACCAGGTTCACAGGCTACCTCACCTGTGATTTTTAAGGGTCCCCGCGTCGCCGCAGCGGCAAGACCCATATCCTGCGGAGCCGATTCCCTCCGGAGCTTGGAGGGAGTCCGCCATTAGCCGTTGGCGCTAACCCGGAAGTCCCGTAATGTTGTATTTTAATCTTGTTTTTAAGTTGTATTCATTCAACTGGTTTTTATTATTGCTTCTTAGCTGCCCTGAGCCCAGCCTTGGCTGGGGAGGGCAGGGTATAAATAAAATTAATTGTTGTTGTTGTTATTGTTGTTGTTGTTGTTAAAGAGCACCACATAATCAAGTAAATCAGGATGAATGCTGAATCAGCAGGGTCTCTGGAGAAGCCTTGAATCAGGTGGAGAGCATTTTTTTTTATTGACTGATTCATTGACTGAATCAGAAGCAGAATGTCATCTCACGTTTCTCTCAGAAATGGGGTCCATTCTAGTGGACTCAAAGGAGAACTTTGGACAAATCCTTTGAGTTTTCATGAGAAATAAAGGAAAGGGGAAGTGGGAAGAGTGATGTTGTGTCAGGTGTGAAGAGTTCTCCTCTCCCTTTGGTAACATCACAGATAAGAATTAACAAGCAGTTGATCTATTTATAGTCCTTTTATTACAGCATCATGTTGCAAGCAGAAATACACAGCTATCTGCAAGGAGGGCAGTTG